CTAATTGTAATGTCTCGGTGGGTCAGTGGAAGGTAAAACCACACAGGTACAAAACAAATTGACTGCAGAATCACCAGTTTTATTTCACAGCATCAGCAGATTTTTGTCTTTATGATTTTTGTTTTAAAAGAAGATGTAGTATGGCTAAGTCAATGAACTTTTAATTCTTTAATTGTGTAGTAGGTGCTCATTATCTGTTACAGGGGAACCACGGAATATTGCCTTTTTGATTTTCCTGAGTTAGGTCAGTAAGGAATGTTTTAGCTCCTTCTTGACTGCCTTCTTCCTGCTTCTCTAATCAGTAAGGAAATTTTTTCTCTCCACTTCAGATCTTCTTTTAGTACCTCCCAGTAGTAATAATTAATACATGAAGATCCCCCATGATTTTGGTATTGTGACTTATATGTGGAATATTGATTATCTTATTTTAGCCTTAAATTACCATCAAAAGAAGGTAGATTGGTAGCATTTTCATTTCTATTTTACAGATGAGAACACAATCCTGTTCTTTCTGAATGTAAAACAAAACAAAACAAAAACAAAAAACAACTAGTATTTGTAGTCCTGCTACCATCAGAAAACATCAGCCTCAGTTGTAGCAGAGGACCAGGAGAAACGTAAGCTGGACTCGGGTTCCTATTCCTCATTTTTCTCTTGTATTTATCAATAAGTATAGCACTGAGTCAAGAGCAGGACCTTGGACTAGCACAGCAGGAGACGTCCCAGCTCTGACACTTTGTAGTTGTGTGTTCTTGGGCAAGTTACTTGACCTGTCTACATCTCAATTTCATGCTCTAAAAAGGTCAGGATTCTAATATTTAAAACCTACCTCAATGAAATAATGTTAGGGACTATTTAATATCCAGATCATCCTCATTATACTTACACTCATCTATTCAAACTGCATATGTTGTTCTAGTATTTGTTCATTCCTCCAACAAATATTTGAATGTCCACCATGTATTAGACATTGTGCAGTGAACCAGACACACATAGTCCCTGTCCTCATTAGAGTGTACATAGCAGAGTATCTAGTTCATTCAGATATCAGAATCTACACAGTGTATTTAAGAACACTCAAATGTCAAAGGTCAGGATTTTGATAAGGAGCTAAATAGGAGATGGACAATGAACTTCCAGTAAGGAAGAAGGAAAACCAGGCATGTACTGTTGTTCTAGTAACCAAGCCAAGAAAGTGTTTCCAGATGATGGTAGTGATCAATTGCACTAAATGCCTCTGAGAATTAGAGTAAGTGAGAGTCTGAGAATGAAACTGATTTGTACAAGATGGACATCAGTGGTGTTCTGGATAAGGACAGTTTTAGTGAAGAATGGGAGAACAGAAAACAACTACTTGGTACATATAAATTTTCAGGAATGAATTTCCAGCATCCTTACCCCATGATCACTAGAATTCTTTTGTTCTCAAAAAGAATATTCATCTTTGTGTAGTGCAGGTGACTTACTCAAATTGACCCTCTGCAGTACTGCTATCCAAGTACCTATTCACCATCAAGTCTTTATCACTGTTATCATAATATCTGGAAATATAATACGTCTTTTGAACTAGCCTATCCATTGCTGGTTTGCCTTTATACTTACCATTGAGCACACCCTAATATCCGGTGATAAACATTCATCACCCTATCTTATTTTTCAAATATCTAGAATTTTTTTTTTTTTGAGACAGAGTCTCGCTGTATCATCCAGGCTGAAGTGCAGTGGCAAAATCAAGACTCACTGTAACCTCTGCCTCAGCCTACCAAGTAGCTGGGACTATAGGCACGCGCCACTACACCTGAATTTTTTTTCATTTTTTGTAGAGACGGGGTTTTCCATATTGCCCAGACTGGGAGACCTAGAATTTTATAATGTGTGATAAAAACGTAACTCTTGATGGTCTGATGAGATGTTCAGTATTTTGAGAGATTTCAGCCATTTTAAGAAACTCGTGCCACCATTTTTAGGCTTCTTTTAGTACATGGCACTTATTTCTCATGCAGAACAAGACATGGACATCTTTTCTTCTGATACGGATTTATTTCTTACAAAGTAACTGGGAGACAAGCACATTTGAGTAAATCTCTCCTTTGGAGTTTTTTTTTTTTTTTTTGGTCTCAAGTATTAAGTGTATAAGCTCTGGCATTTGATTTCTTGTTTGGGGAGAATGCTGAGAGACTTGAGAGACGACATGCAAGCTTGCTTTCGAGCTTCACTGCCAGGGCTGGGGTATCCAACTTTGGATGATAATCACTCTCATATTTGACACAAGGGCAGGGGCACTCACTGTAGAAGTTATAAATGATATATCAGCCTGGATTGATTTATCAAATTGAAAAAAACCAAAAAGAATCCATTCAGAGTGATTTTATTACTTCTTAAAAAAGATTTGAAATTTTGCTTCTATTAAAAAATTACCATAAATGGAATATTAAATAAAATGTGTGATTGTAACATGACATTTAACTGTAGTGCTTTCCCCATGTTATTATGAGCATGTAAAAGAATTCTAGTATCTTAATTTTTAAAAATGTAAGGAAGATTTAGAGAATGGCTAGGATTTTTGTTTTTTAATTTAACTGTAAGTATTGTGTAAGTGAATAAGCAGGGTTTTGTTTTTCAAAAAAAAATTACCTCAAGGCTTTTTTTATTAATATATAAAGTTGTGGAAATTGGCTTTATTGGTTACAAACACCACATACTTTCAACATTTGAAAAAAATGCTATTTGTTTAGCATTTTGGTTTGTAAAGACAGAATATTTATTTATTTATTTATTTATTTTGAGACAGTGTCTTGCTCTGTTGCCCAGGTTGGAGTACAATGGTGTCATCTCTGCTCACTGCAACCTCCGCCTCCTGGGTTCAAGCTATTCTCCTGCCTAGGCCTCCTGTGTAGCAGAGATTACAGGTGCGTGCCACCACGTCCGGCTAATTTTTTGTATTTTTAGTAGAGATGGGGTTTCACCATGTTGGCCGGGCTAGTCTCAAACTGCTAACCTTGTGATCTGCCTGCCTCAGCCTCCCAAAGTGCTGAGATTACAGGCATGAGCCACTGCACCCAGCATAAAGACAGAACTTTTAAATCGATACCTTTAAGATTTTCTTGTAGAAATAACCTTACATACGTTTTCTGAAGCTAGAGCCTTTCTTAGACTGCTTTCCTAACCAAGTGTGAGTATAACAAACTTTTCACACTCGGATGAGTTACCTGTCTCATGTAGATGGACCATGAGCAATGTAGGCCATTGCTTCATTATGTGAGATAGAATTTGTTCAGCTATTTATTTACAGAATCTATGAGTGCTTGCCTATCATTGAATATGTGCGACAAATCCATAGGGTGGATGCTATGAAGCTATTCCATCAAGGAAAAGCTATTCACCAAATAGAGAAATCACAGCTATCGTGTTTAAAGGTATACATGCATCTATAAGAAAGGAATAGGGCCTCTAGTGCACATATCATGCCATTTCTTTGAGTAGGTTGCACTGGGGAATAATATTTTAAGAAATATAGGTAGTACTCATAGCAGATAGGAATAGCAAATCATTTGCTTCTTGCTGCTCACATTTGCTAAGACTGTTACGAAGATTTTCCCTGGGCACATGAATCAGTTTAATAATGATTGCTGCCAGTTGGTGGCTAGACATCAGACTGCCAGCCTACTCAACAGTGTTGCCATCTGCTATTTGGATTCACAGTGTGTTGCTGCTACGCACCACCTCATTAAGAACGGGACCCTTGTGAGCCATAGACAGTGGCTTATTCAAGCAAGCGAAGTAAACTCCTCCCCAAGCCAAATTTGTAGAGGCTGCATGCATCTCATCTTATTTGGAAATTGCTCTATGCTGATCATGTAGTCTGATAGCTCATTGTCTCTGATCACTTAGGTTTAGTATTTCAAGCCAGCTCCTTATTTCAAATTAGTGTCAAAATACAAATATGATTATTTCAAAGACTTGTAAAAACTACTCCATTTTTTTTGGTAATGCATTCATATCTTAAAGTGGTATTAGTCAGTGGGTTGCCAAACACATATTTTAATAAGTTATTATAATCCACTGGGCTTTTCTGGATAGTTCTTCCAGTCCTGAAGATTTTTCAGTTTTGTAGAATTCCTACTGCAGTTTTTATTTCTTGGAAATGGACTTTCAAAGGCTTTAATCATATTTCCTCTTTTCCTCTCCTGTTAAATATCTAAAAGCAGCTAGAATGCAAAATATTTGTATCTGTCAGATAGACATGAGTGCATTTTACCTGACAACCACGGATTATCTTAAAGTTTTAAACCCTGTTACAGAAAAAGAAAATTTATTTGCACAGGTCATATAATAGTTAGATCCTCTCCATAGCACCTCCATAGATAGTAGATCCTGTAGTACTTTAAGCATTAGGGTTACATATCAAAATTAAGCTAGTTTCAAATCTCAAAGGAATTCATAAGCTGAGATTTAAGTCTTGGGTACCCCTCCCCTTACTTTCCACACAGGTACTTAGTTCTCACACTTGCACTTACCAGCATCCAGAATGTATTTCTTAAGCCCTACACTTGTTAGGTACTCTATGAAAAAGGGCTTTAGGCCAGGCACGGTGGCTCACACCTGTAATCCCAGCACTTTGGGAGGCCAAGGTGGGCGGATCACTTGAGGTCAGGAATTTGAGACTAGCCTCACTAACATGGTGAAACCCCATCTGTACTAAAAATACAAAAAGTTAGATGGGTGTGGTGGCAGGTACCTGTAATCCCAGCTACTTGGGAGGCTGAGGCAGGATAATTGCTTGAGCCTGGGAAGCAGAGGCTGCAGTGGGCCGAGATCACGCCACTGCACTCCCTTCCAGGCAACAGAAGAAGACCCCATCAAAAAAATAAATAAATAAATAAATGAATAAAATAAAATAAAATAAAAAAAAGTTGGGGGGTGAGCTTTGATGGGCAAAGAAAATTAGAAAGTGGGGTGTCTCAGACAGCATTCTCCAGGATGCAGATTCTGAGATATACTTTAATTGTAGGATATTTATTAAGAAGTGCCTTTTGCCAAACGTTTGTTAAAAGAGAGAGAGAGAGAAGTGGAATTGGGTGGAGGGAGGAGATGAGTTATAATGCAGGTCCAACGACAGCCTTGGCCAACCCCACAGGGAGCTCTGGAGTTAAAATGGCCCTCAGAGATGTCCTAAGATGGGCAAGAGAACAACTCTGTATCTCCACACTGATCAATCCTTGGCTATGGGCCACTCCACAAAAAAGTGTGACCTTAGGTGAAGTGGTTCTCTACAGCTATGCCAATTCCTGAAGAGGGCTGTCAGCTGCAGGCTGCCTGCTAACATTACACCCAGCAAGTGGGGTTCAAGCCGTTCTTTGAAGGGGGATCTGGGTTGCACATCATACTACTGCCACATGGAACACAGCAAATCATCTCTTTTGGAGAGCTGCACTAAACATTCACATACGAATGGCTTTGAGAATCTGGCACTGAAGGAACTTTCTAATTTAATTTTTCTCCTGACATCAGTTCATATCCTATGGAACTAGTTTTCCACAGAACGTAATTTGATAAATGTCTCCCTAATCTTACAGTGCCTTGCAGGCTGTTAAAAGAACTGCATATAGATGGTTTGCTCTGGGCTTGCCTGCCCTTCAACAGGGTCTATCAGTTCTGCCTGAAAACTTTGGTGTTGCTATATTAGTTAAGGACCTGCTATACAATGGCATGTATGTACTGTGATGAAATTAACCATCACACCTTCATAGGGGTCAGATGAATGAATATGTGATGGATATACTGTGATGAACATGTCATAAAATAGTGACAATTCACTAAGGCCGCCAAGAATGAGCCTGTGAGAGGTTACCAGTATCACTAAGTACAGTAGTGGCTTTACTCTTTAGACCAGGGCTGATGGTAAATGAGGTGGTCAGAGAGCTGGGATTGTTAATGATTCAGGGGTGATGGGCCCTCAAATGATAGAGGGCCCTGGAGGACTAGTGCTTAATTACCAAAAGTCAAGAGGCCATAATTACTATAACAACTGGTGAAATCGGAGGGGTAGTTAAGGGGGTTTGATTCACAGGGTGTTTAGGAGATAATTAATTGAAAGTAACACCCCTACAGGCAAAATAGATGGGCACATAACAAGAATGCTGCTTAACGCCTATAACCAAATAAGGCACGAATGGAACCGCACTCCAATGACACATCCCTTTCTCAGTTCCCAGACCTGAAGCACTTTTCACGTAAGGAACCCACAGATGGAAGAACCCATAAGTGGCTGGGTTACTAGGTCACAGGTCACTAGGAGGAAGAACCCTGCTATACAGGTATATACTTCGATGAAATGGCAAGTTCTTCCCCAAATAGATTTATGACTATATGCTGGCAAGCAAGAATATCCAGACACTTCCAGGTTTACTGGGCACACAGCCTGAGTTGACAATGACACCTAATACTCTTCCTGGCAGCTAGGCCTGAATAGAGCTGTGCAGCCCAAGGGGTGGACTGAGCCAGCGTGGAAATGCACCACTGAGATCTTTTGCTGTGGAACATAATTGACTGGGGGGTGTCCCCGCTACTCCTCTCCGTATCCATTGATACAGTCATGCCAAGGCTACATTTCCCATGAGTTGTTTCCGTAAGAACAACAGTGAATGAATGAGGCAGGTATACTAATAATGCAGGCCTATTCCTGTGAGGTAGGGGGCTCCTCCAATGGGCAACTTTGGTTTGAGTGTTCTTCATCTGACCGCAAACTTTATCAGAACTGTGCTACAGTCTAAGCTTTTTGCTGCTCAACCATCCTTTCTTCCTTCTCTCCTTCTGTATTAGTCAGGGTTCTCCAGAGAAACAGAATCAATAAGTCCTATGGATCTATCAGTCAATCTATAAGGATTTATAATCAATCTATACGGATTTATCCTTATTTAATTATAAGGAATTAAATATAAATCCTTATTTATTATAAGGAATTGGCTCACACAATAATGGAGGCTGAAAAGGCCCCCAATCTGCTGTCCGAAGGTCTGAGAACCAGGAGCATTGAGGTGTCAGTCTCAGGTCAAGGGCAGGAGAAGATGGGTGTCCCAGTGCCACAGTCAGGCAGAAAATTCAACCTTCCTCCACCTATTTTATTTGGGTCCTTAGAAGACTGGATCAAGCCCATCCACACTGGGGACTGCAATCTGCTTTATTCAGTCCATCAATTCAAATGTGAATTTCTTCCAGAAAATGCTTCATGAACACAACCAGAAATAATGTTCGATCAGATATGAGGCATCCTGTGGCCCAGTGAAGTTGACACCCATAAAATTAACCATCACACCTCCATGGAGGCCAGAAATTTTATGTATTCTGAGGACTCTGTCTCTCTGACTTCCTCTCTATTTAAACCCTTAGCCATTTTCTCCCCCCCCAAATAAATGTCTTGTAAATTGAATCCTGTCTTTCCATGTGTTACTTTGGAGGACTGGAACTAATAAATTTGGACTTTGTTCTGGCAGGTAGTTTAGTTATTTACAGTTCAGCTTTATACTATTGAGGCTTGTTTTTAAGCTTTTTGTGCGGGTGGGGAGCAAATGTAGTACAGTTTTTAGTCAGGATACTTTAGCCCTACTCATGTAACACGTAACCTTTCTGGGATCTTTAGTGAATGGTTTTCAGTCAAAACTCTCCACTGTGGCTGGACGGAAATTAGATATTTCCCAATCACACGCTAATTTTGAGACTCGTTAGGCGTAGTGTTCTGCTAGGTACACAATGGAGCCTCTACGTAGATTTCTGGATTTTTTTGTCTACCTTCTTCCTTGTTGATACTTTGTCCTAAAAAATTCAAACTATCTCAGTCTCAACTCCAATCTTCCTCTCCTCAACTCAGCAAGACTCTGGTCTCCTACGACGGGATCCAGAGTGCTCGCCTCGGAAAGGCAGGGTGATCAGAGGTCTCACTTTGTTTCCCTTCCTCAGCGATCAAGTTGTCTAAACTTTTCCCCCGGCTTCTGGAAACACTGATAGCCAACCTTTCTGTAAAATTTCTAACATAAGTACTTAGAGCTTTAATACGCTGTATTTTCATTAAAATTCATTTCAAAATATTTTTGCAATTTTGCTGTGATTTATTTTGTGACTCCTGGGTCATGAGATGTATGTTCCTTAAATGAATGCATTTAGGAAATTTTTTGTTACCTTTATGTACTTGATTTCTGGTTTAATTCATACTCTATATGATTTCAATCTTTTGAAATGTCTTAAGACTTGATTTGTGATACAGCCTAACATGCACCCCAGAACATGTGGGGTAAATGTTTTGGGGTACACCTTAAAAGAACATGTATTCTGATGTTTTTGAATGTAATATTTTATGTCTTATTCATATTTATAGTACCAATACACAGCACATAGTAGAAACTTAACATATATTGAGTTAAATAATTCAAAGGTTTTATCCTATTGGTGGCAATTCAAGACCAAATAAGAGAGAATGATGATGATATCACTATTTCTGTTAAGATAGGGCCTCATACAACATACAGGAATGTCCAGTCAAGTCATGCAGTTTCTCCTCTATTCTAACCAATGTTAATGCTAACACTTTATACGATGAAAATTATCCCAGTATTTTTCTACCTATATTTCTATCAGTTTTCCCTTCATTGATTGTAAGATGTATATCACTAGAGCTATTTGACAGTAGGAAACAATTATCTTAGGAAAAGTTAGTGACATTGGTCTATAAAGCTCACAGAGACATAAGAAATGGTTCATTTTATTTTTTCATTTTTCACCAAACAATTCACGATTGTTTCTGAGATTACAAAAGATTAGACAATAGCTAATATCTCTATGCAATGGTCAAATTTTTCAAGTAGAATCATTTTTTAATTTTCCAAGTTCCAATGTCACTTTCTCCTTGAACATGACTCAAGGTTAAAACTTATAAATATACACCTTCTAATGCATTTAACTTTCCTATTTAACCCTTCTGCCAACCTTATTCTGGACACTGAAGTTTTGATTATAAAGAAGGAACGAAACAGATTTCGATGAGTCTAACACTATGTTATGTAGGCTTACAAGATGCTTCTTGTGTACGGTCCCATATCTTTTCAACCTCTGAGTCCAGTCGTGGCTCTGTTGAACAGTTATGGAAGATATTACACTGCTCTGTGCTGACACTGTCTCACTTCGAGCATGCACCAAGACTCTAGTTTCGTGTCTTAAGACCTCTCTGATGTAGCAATGTGCGATGCTGAGGTACCATGTGGGCTCTCAGCTCTTTGCAGCCCAGAGGGATGGGGTGGTGGGGGCGGTGAGTTAATGCCCCAAAGGAGCAGCCCTCAACAAACAGGAGGTGACTGCTGATGGAGAAATACTTCTCCATTCTCCCTAAGGCAGACAGTTCTGAGATAAAGTTTAAGAAGAATCCTAAGAAAGTTCTGCATTACGTAGCCATTAATAGGGGTGGACCACTTGTTAACAGCAGTATCTGGTTTTGCTTGGACTTACTTTCCCTTTTCCCATGTTCACTCCCCTGCCTCTCATTCCTGCTCCTGGGTGCTAGACTCATAAATAGAATGTGTCTACCTTTGTCTCAGGCTCTGCTTTCAAGAATAACCTAGATTAAAACAGTGGGTAAGTGCGTTGTTGGTACATTACATAATGCAGGGATGTAATTTTCCTTGACTCTGTGCATGCTACAAAGAAACACTTATTCAGATGGCAGCATAGTTGAGGATTTCCACCTTTTTCCTTTTTGAAAGCTCATGGTCCATCCTGAGCCTGACCACCTAAAGAAAAAAAAGTTGTCGTAATTAGGTTACAGTTAAACAGGCAAATATCTTTGTGAGGATGACTCTAAGCATTTTTTTTTTTTTTCTGTCTGAGGGAGTCCTCAGCAATTTGGCTGGATATTTTTGTCTAATATGGAAGAGCCCTCAGTCTACTTAATCATGCAAAGATTTGTTGCTTTGGAGACAAGCATATTAAATTTCTTATTTTCCTTGGTAAAAAAACTGGATCTTGGCTGGGTGTGGTGGCTCACCCCTGTAATCTCAGCACTTTGGGAGGCTGTGGAGGGTGGATCACTTGAGTCCAGGAGTTCGAGACCAGCCTGAGCAACATGGTGAGACCCTGTCTCTATTAACAATATAAAAAATTTTTTTAAAAAGTAAAACAAAAAAGCTGGATCTTTTAGTGCTATAACCCCTTTTTGTTAAGATAAAAAAACAAAAATTACTGGAACACTATCAGGGCTTTCTTCATTCGTGAAGGAATGAAGGAATCCTCTGAAAGATACCGAGAGTTATTAGAAATAAATTGAGGTTGTCCATATGCTAGCACTAAGTGAAAACGTTAACAATGATAATTTTTCACTCATTTGGTTCTGAAGACACTTCAGAGAACAAAATTGATTAAAACCCCTCTCTTATTGAAACTGTATTCCAGTGGAACAGAAAGTTAAGACAATAAACCAAGTAAATCATTACAATACATTGAATTTAAAATAAAGGCTACAGCCAGGCATGATGGTGCACGCCTGTAATCCTAGCTACTCAGGAGGCTGAGGCAGGAGAATTGCTTGAACCCGGGAGGGTGGAGGTTGCAGTGAGCTGAGATCGTATCTGTACTCCAGTCTGGGTGACAGAGCGATGCTCCATCTTAAAAAAAAAAAGGCGGGGGGTATGCAGAGGAAAATAAACAAGAGATGGTGTATGGCCTGAATTATGTACCCCCAAAATTCATATGTTGAAGGCCTAACCCCTAGTACCTCATAAGGTAACTATGTTCGTAGATAAGGTTTTTAAGGAGGCAATTAAGTTAAAATGAGGCCCTTTGGATGGGTCCTAGTCTAAATGCTGTCTTTATAAAAGAAAATTTGGGCATGCAGAGAGACACCAGGGCACTCACTCACAGAGAACAAACCATGAGAGGACACAGAGAGAAGGTGGCCAATGGCCAGTCAAGGAGAGAGGCCACAGGAGAAATCAAACCTGCTGCCATCTTGTTCTTGGACTTCTAGTCTCCAGAGCTCAGAAAATAATTTTCTGAGGGTTAAGCCACTGGGTCTGTGGTGCTTTGCCATGGCAGCCCCGCAAACCAATCCAGATGCTGAGAGAATGTGTAAGTTTTTTGTTTTGGTTCGTTTCATTGGTAGGTCTCACTGAGAAAAATGACATTAGAACAAAGACCTGCAGAAGAGTGAGTTATATAAATATTTGGGGGCAGGAGCATTCTGGAAGAGGGAAAAGCAATCCCCAAAGCCCTGATCTGGAAGGAGGCCAGGGAGGTTTGATACACAGAGCATTAGAAGATGAGGTTAGAAAGGTATGGGACGGGGAGGCAGATCACAGGAGAGAAGGGTTCTCAGTGGATGCAGGTCCGTACTGTGCACCAACAGGATATTTTGAAAAACTGTGAGGAATTTTGGCATTACTGTGATTGCGGTGGTGGTAATGTTAGTGGGCAGGCAACATTTATGTTAAAAGAATAGCCATGCTTAGGACCCTTCCACCTGGCAAAGTATTTTTTCCACATTCTATGTGACTTTAAAATGCCCTGCTGCTCATTCATGGAGATGTAACACTTTATAACCTTTTATGCTAACCTCTAAACTCCATTAATGACAAAATAGGTTACTGGGATCAACTTCTCATTAAACAAGTAAACATTCTGGATACATATATTTGATCAAATTTGGGGAATCTTTGCTAATACTTTTTCAAGTATTTTTCTGCCTGATAGTTTCTCTCCTTGACTTCTGAAAGTCCAATTTCATGTAAGTTAGATGTCTTTATATTATTTCATGAGTCACCATGTTCTGTTTATTATAAACTTTTTTTTTTCTCAGTGCACTTTAAATTTGGATGATTTCTATTGACTTTTTTTTTTTTTTTTGAGATGGAGTCTCGCTCTGTCGCCCAGGCTGGAGTACAATGGCGCAATATCAGCTCACTGCAGCCTCCATCTCCCCAGTTCAAGCGATTTTCCTGCCTCAGCCTCCCCAGTAGATGGGATTACAAGTGTGCACCACCACATTCAACTAATTTTTGTATTTTTAGTAGAGACGGGGTTTCACCATGTTGACCAGGCTGGTCTCAAACTTCTGACCTCTGACCTCAAATGATTTGTCCACCTCAGCTTCCTAAAGTGCTGGGATTACAGGCATGAGCCACTGTGCCTGGCCCTCTATTGACCTATCTTTAAGTTTCCTGATTCTCCTTACTGTGTGTCCAATCTACTGATAATCCCATCAAATAATTTCAGTTATTATATTTTTCAGTTCTAGGGGTTCCATTTTGTTCTTCTTCTATTAGTCATATTTATCTTGAAATTCCCTGTCTTCATTTATCATATCTACCCTTAGTAAGAATCTTTAATAATTTAAAATAGCCATAAATATATTTGAAATTCCTTTTCTACTGATTCCAACATCTGGAGGTCTATTTCTATTGATTTATGACAAAGGTGATGTTGCAGAGCAGTGGGGAAAGGACTTTCTTTTCCAAGAAAAACTTAGGTCAGTTGGATAGCTACATGAAAAAAAAAAAAATAGTCCTCACTTGACACCATATGCCAAACTTAATTTTAGGTAGTTAGCACATCTAAGTGTTCCAAGAAAAAACTTAAAGTTCCAGATGGTAACGTAAGAGAATGCCCTTGTCACCTTGGGGTAGGCAATGATTTCTTACAGGTTAGCAAAAGCACTAACCATGAACAAAAAGTGATAAATTAGACCTCAATAAAAAGTAAAGATTTACCTTTATCAAAATCTAAAAATAAGAGAGTTAAAATGCAAGCCTTTAATTAGGAAAAGGTGTTTGTTTGCAGCACTTATCTAGAATATACACATCAAGTAGAAGAAGATTAGCCAATAGAAAAATGGGTGAATGCCTAAAAGCCACTTTACTAAAGAGGATATCTGAGTGGCCAATAATTACATGAAAGATGCTCTTTATCTTTAGTCATCCGAGAAATGTAAATTAATACTATATAAACCCCAAATGTTGGAGAGGACGTGGAACAATGAGAACTCTCATCATATAATGCTGGCAGGTCTGTAAATTTAAAAAACTGCTTGGCACTGTAATTATAGCTGGTTATGAGCAAACCTTTGATATGTATCCCAATAGAAATGTGTATCTATGTGAACCGATTCACAGAATAATGTTCATGGAAGTATTATATGTAATAGCTCCAAACCTGAAAAGAACTTGAATGTCCAGTATCAGCATAAGGGACCAGTCACAAAAGACCGCATATCATACGATGCAATTTTTGTGAGATGTCCAGAATAGGCAAATCTATAGAGCAGAAAAATTAGTGGTTGCTTGGGGCTAGAAAGGATAGGGAATTGGGGTTGTGGGAGTAATTGCTAAAGGGTATGAAGTTTCCAGGTGATGGAAATTTTCTAAAACTGACTGTGGTGATGGTTGCATATATCTGTGAATACGCTGAAAGCATTGAATTGTACACATTGAATTGCACACTTTAAGTGGATGAACTGTATGGCATGTGAATTATATCTCAATACATCTGTAATTAAGAAAAAATAACAGCAAAAAGAATAAATTGTGTATACTCATATAACTGAATTTCATACAGCCTAGAATAAAATTTTTAAAAAGACTTGTTACATGCAATGACATGGATGAATTCAAATATAATATAAAGTGAAATAAACCAAGTACTATAAAATATTTACCAAGTAATTCATTTCATGTGAAATGTCAGAATAGACAAAACTAACAGGGGGATGAAGAATGTTACTATTAGTTAATTTCTTGAGCTGGGTTGTGGTTGCCCGGACATGTTTGTGTTAATCTTTGAAAGTTTACTGAAACGTATTTGTCATTTGTACGCTTTCCTGTATGCTGTACTACAACACAAGTTTTATTAAAAGTATTTCTAAAAATCCAATTGTTCAGTAAGTTGTCCTATAATATGCATTAAAAAAGAATTTAAAAATACACGAGCATTTCAAAAGTTATTTTTTGTGGGTTAGGGTTATGGAGAATTTATTTTCTCCTATATATGTCTCAGAATTTTCCAAATGACCATGGTAGACATATATTACATTTATCACCAGAAAAAAATACTATTAAAATACAATTGTCTGAGATAATCTTGTGTTACTTTTACACTAAACTCATTTAGTTCAAATGTGGGGACTTCAGCTTTTGCTCCCAGATGAAAAGAGCTTGTCATTTTGGAGCAAAGGAGGGCGTGGCAGTTGGTCAGAGTGTTTCCTGGTGGCCTAGGAGACTGCCAGGAACTCATCACTGGCCACCGGCCTAGGGGGAGGAGCTGAGGTGCAGGTGCAGGGAGGGATTCAAGAGACTGAACTAAACCTGGGTGGGTCCCAGTCCTCATAAAACCTGGATCCTAACTGCAAAACTATGGTCGGGCCTAGGAAGCGGTGGAGGACTCACTGGCGCTCTAGCCTCTGTGCTGGGTGCATTAGTGATTAGGCTTTAATCATCACAGTCCTCATGATTCTATTTTTGTAAGGCCAGCAGCTCAGAGTGGTTTTTACATTGTCAAAACAAAGACGAATACGCTACAGAGCCAGTTCCAGGCCCAAATTCTAGAGTATTTGCTTTCTGGCTCTTTACAGAAAAAGTGGGTAAACTTCTCGATTAGAGACTCTAGGCAGAATTCTAAGGTATTTAAAATGTTTACCTGGGAATGCGCTTGCTGGCGAGGCGGAGCCGGCGCCGGCGTGAAGCAAGTGTGCCCAGGGGCACTGGTACCACGCGATGCTGGATTGCCTAGGCTGGTCAGACGGAGCAAATCGGAATCCACCGAAGAAAATTCACCTCTGAAGGATCCAGTCTGGAAAGGGATGGCCAGGCTCTTCCTGGACAGGGGTGACCAAATGGATGAGGATGCTCTCTGCAGCCCTCGGCGGATCGCAAAGGAGCAGGGCTCCGGTCTTCTATCTGGGAAAGCATCTTTGTCACTCGTCGAGAAGCCAACGGAGCCCCTGCGGAGTTTCCTTTCCCTTTCTCTGCGGCGGGCAGAAGCAGCGCATTGAGCGGTTCGCCGGGCTGTCTGCAACTTTGAGAGCTGAGCCGCGTGGGTGCGGCCGGCCGACCGGCGCGTGCGCAGTGAGCTCTCAGCGCCTCCCACCGCGCAGGCTCGGCGTTGGCCTCCGCGCCCCGGGCTAGTGCGCCCTTCTCGGGTCCCCTAGGTCGCGGGGCAGCCGGGGCAGAAGGGCTCGTTCATTATTTTAAGAGTTCGTTGTGAACGTCATAACCCTTCGTCCTTAAATATTGCCGATACTTGACCTACGCAAGAGACAATGTCATGTGATTCAGCCTAATATCTCAGTATGTATCCCCTCAGAAAAAGGGATTGTTCTACATTCTCAACCCCGCGCTATTGACATTTTGGGCAGGATGAGTTTTTGCTATCTGTGCCCGTAAGGTGGGGGTGACGGGGTGGGATGGGGGTGTCCTGAGCTAAACAATCACTATTTAGCAGCATCCCTGGCCTCTACCCATTAGGTGCCAGTGGCAAACCCCTCCCCCAATTGTGACAACCAACGATGCCTCCAAACACTGCCAAACCCAAAAGGTGTGGTTGGGGGGTGGAGAGGGGAGGGGTGGTGGTGAGGGTTGGGGGAAAAAAGGAGAGGTGCAAAATTGCCTCAATTGAGGACCACAGGATCACAATGCGCATCATCATACTTAGGAAATGTAATTGTTAGATTACAATAATCGGATATATTTCATACTTGAATTTCCTCAGTTGTCCCAAAATGTCCTTCTTTACCCTATAGTTTGTAAAATGTAAATCCGAGATTTAACAGGAATCACATAGTGCATCAGTAAGAATCATATATTGCAGTTGTCAAGTCTCTTTCGCTTCCTTCAACATAGAACAGTTCCCTAGCCTTTTTTTGTTTGTTTCTCCTGCTATTGACATTTCTGAAAAGTCTAGCCCAGTGGTCTTCCAGAATATCCTTCAATTTAGAGATGTCAGATTGGTTCCTCATTATACGATTCACGAGTAATATGTATGTACACACGAACATATATGCAGGAATTCTACCTACGTGAATTTTATCTATTTTCAAATGACTTTTTAACTGTCATAACATTTAATTTAAAAAGCACCCTCTGACCAGCGATTTGAAATATTTTTATCACATCCGTAAATTTCCACATTATATTTGGATCTAAGATATATTTTCTTTTTTTTCCACGTTGATCTTATTGTCTGCTTATGGGCGAATATTATACTGTTTTTATCAGAGACTAAATTTCAATATCTGGTAGGGCTAGACTGCGTTATTGCTGTTTTCTGAAGTTTTTTTTTTTAATATGCTTGGTTATTTTTTCATGTAAACTATAGAATATAGCTCCGTAAAAATACTTTCTAAAAAAAAACTTCTGCATATCTTTTCCATTTATGATGTTGCATTTTCCTTTTGACATTTTCTTCCTTTTGAAAAGCAAGGTTTATTTTTTCTCTTGCTCAAGTTTCAGCTTTGTGTCTTTCAAGAAAGCTTCATAAAGGTTTTTCACTTGTTAAATTTATTCTTAGAGTATTTCTCTTTTTTTGTTGGAATTATCTCTTCTACTTTTCCTTATAACGGCTAGGTTCTTACATAAATTAAAGTACTGATTTCTGTGTCTAATTTTGTATCTTGCAACCATATTGAATCTCCTGTTGCTTCCAGGAGTTTCATGTTGATTGTATCTGCATCTCTGTTTACACTTTTATATAATTGCAGTGATTATCCATTTTGAATTTCAAATTGCCCATCTTTGGTCATTTTTGGCTCCTTTATTTGACACAAGCTCAAATGTCTTGATTGCTTTCTGACACTGTAAGAGTTCCAGTGTCATATTGTACATTTACTGCCTCAGACGTAGAATCAGTCATTTCTCAAAGGTGTCCTGATTGCTTCTAGTGAAAAAGGTATTTGGATGCTACAACCTGCACTTAAAGATGTTCATGGTTAAATGGCTTATCCCTTCCCAGACTCTTCAACACAAGATCTAGGAGAGATGTAGTTTTTCAAAGAAAGATGAAAATAAATAATAACTTTGTGTTGATATTCCAATTCTAATAGAAGATTATAGGGTTTTTACTTACTTGATTTTATATTGCATCTCTTCCCCGATGCTGAAAATCATGGCTCCTAAATGATATTAACAGAATAATTTACTTTTCTCCATAATATATATAATAGTTTCCAAAATCTACCAGTATTACAACTGTTAGTAAAAATGTTAGATGTAGTTAAATACAGTTAGGCTTATTTATCTCATATTTTAAAATCTAGGTTGCTTTCTGGGTGCAGTGGCTCACCCCTGTAATCCCAGCACTTTGGGAGGCTGAGGCGGGTGGATCACTCAAGGTCAGGAGTTCAAGAGCAGACTGGCCAGTTGCACCACAGTGCTGCAGCCTCGGTGACAGAGGGAGACTCCAAAAAAATAAATAAATAAAATAAAAAACTCGATTGCTCGGTTAAAAAGAAAATTAAATCCAAAATCCAAAAGGGAAAAGAACCTTAAATATATCTAACGCTTTCTTTTTGAGTGAAATATCTAATTCATACATTTCATTATTTATTTAAATTACCAGTTTTGTTCTGAACACTCTAGCTGCATCTTGTCAATTCTAATGTCATGTTTTCATTTTTTTCTAGAAATTCTCATTATTAATTGATACTTCCCTTTGCGGCAAGCTACGTTTAAGAGAAAAATTTTAAATTTCAAGATGGGGCTTTCTTATGTTTTGATTATAACTTTCTAGTTTTATCATTATGGTGAATATTTATATTATATTTATGTGATTTATTGAGGCATACATGTCTGTATTGTAAATTAGAGTCAATTTTCATAAGTGTTTTTGTATTTTTTTGTCTAAGGTAAATGTACTATAGTCTGCTATTATTAGTGTATTTCGATTTCTCTTTGAATCTCTTATAATTCCTACGTATGAAAGTAGCTGCTGTGTTACTCACTGCATACCTTTTCGTAAATCTTTTATTTTCACTGTGAATTGTAGCCTTTAGGATTATAAGATGTTCTTTGTCTCAATAATGGTTTTTGGTCTGAATTTTATTTTATTGAATTTCAAAATCTCAATTCTTTCTTTTTTTATTTGCGTTTTCTTAGTAGACCTTTACCCATCCTTCCTTTCATTGTTAGCATTTCTGAATTGTTTTGTTTTAGGTGGGTCTTTGTCTTTTATATACAGCATAGAGTTGGGTTTTCCTTTGAAATCAACCTATTTTTCTTTTTGTTTTAACACTGAAGTTGAGCCCTCTGTTGGCTGATATGTTTGGTCTCAGTTATCTCCTGTATTATATTTACCTGTGTAATATGTAGCGTATTTGATGGTGATAAGTGCTATTGAGGAAAATAAAGGAGAAAGGGTGCATAAAAAATGCTGGGGAGAATATTCTATTTTAAATAGGTGGTCAGGGAAGGCCTCACGGAGGAAGTGATTTTTGCACAAACACTTGAAATAGGCAAAGGAATGAATCATTTGGATAAATGAGGTAAGATTTTTCCTGACAGAGGACAGCTAGGCCCAAGGCCCCGAGGCATAGAGTACCTAGTATGCTCTAAAGAACAGCAAGGGAGCTGGTGTGATCAAAGCTGGTAAGCAGGAAAATAGTAGGAGATAAAGCCAGAGGATCAGATAGGGCCCTGTCAGTAGGGAGCAAAGAATCCCTCCTTCAAGAGGAATTTTGGTACCAGATGTTGAAATAATACATCTGCTATACCACAGTAATAAATTAATGACTCTATGAGAACACATAAATAACCCTGGGAATTCCAGTCGAGGTAGGAGAGGAAACTAGGCTTGCGGGTATGATATTTTGGGTACAACTTAAATTATGCATAAAAGAAGTTTCATATTTGCTAACTTTGAGGGTTGGATTACTAAGAACCTTTCCCAACCTGTACGATTGCAACAATCCTTGAATATTCTTCAAGTCTCTCATATTTCAGTTTGTACTTCATATTCCACCTCCAAACATATCAGATATAGATAACAACTATAGCTTTTGGCTATTTATCTGAAGCTGTGCATTTACAGAGGAAGAATCTTATTGCAACATTCACATTAATGAAAGGTATTTTGACTAATGTTCAAAAAGCATGAAAAACTAAAATTCTATACTCAGAAGCTTGATAAAGGACAGAAAATGAGAGATTTTTTGAATTTTTTTAAAAAAGTCAAGTATTTTAAAAGAGTTTTTTGTATTTTTTGTGTTGTTTTTCTTTTTGTAAGAAATCTGTTTTGACAGAAAACTATATGGCAGATGTGTGCGTGTGTTTGTGTGTTTTGGGGAGGAATAGGGATGAATTCAGTCTGTAATCTGAAAAAGCTGTGTATAGGATGGGAACAGAGAAGGGACAAACTTTATATGTATACACAGGATTACTTTTTCCTTTTCATGATGTGTTTTATTTGGAAGCATTTACATCTTCTCTTTTTCTTTTCCTCCTTTTTTTTCCTTCACCTTTCTTTTTCTTAAGCTAAACTGTCACAGTGAAATACTGTGACTAAGCCACAACTCATATAGAAAACTGAACGGTGCATTGTAAAATAGGACACAAAACAAAAGACTTCATCTGAGAGCTGAGATCATCACGAGTACACAGACCCACTGCAGTAATTCAACAGTGTTTCTCAGAGCCCGGGACAATTTCTTCAATTCTTGGTATCCTACTGCCCCCTGCTGTTCATGTGGAAGCACTGACTACAGAAATTAAAGTCTTCATAACATTGCACAGGTTTTAGTGCAATATTAACGTGCTATCAAAGAAAGTTAAGTAGTTCAAAGATTTAAACAGAGTAATTTAAGGAATTGCTTTATAAAAGGCTGAATATCAAACATATTACAAAGCAGCTTTCTCGACTCTCTAATATGTTGAAGAGAAATCTAATCCAGTTATTTGGCTTGTGAATCTGGTTTCGTTTTTAAGTTTCTGAGGGGAGCAGAGCAGAAGGAGGCAATTGAGGTAGCTTAGAGATAAATTGGTAAAGAGAAAGCAGGGAGTAGATGGAGAAAATGAAAGGAAAAATGTGCAAGAAGGAGGGGGTAATGAATAATTTACATCCTCGAGGGTAAAGCAGTTCAGTCCTGAACAGATCGTTTACATTCCTCAAGAGGGTCGGGCAGAAACGGGCTCCACGGAAAAGCCCGGATGGACCATTTGTGAGCCTCACTTCTGCTGTCTGCTCCTGGATTTGATCATGGAAACCTCTCATAGCCGTTGGGATGTGAGTTGGGGCCTCTGAAGCAGGGCAGAGGCACATCATCTTTGGAGCTGATTTCCTGGCCTTCTCTGCAATTTGTGAAGAGCCCAGGGGCTGTGTCCTGGATGTAAGTCAGCCCACGTGCAAATGCGGATGTGTGAGCATGCGAGTTGGATGTTATATGTTCCAGGTTTTAGACTCTGAGGGCTGCTAGTTCCTGCATGGCAGACCTTCCCCTTGGGATTAAGTAATAAGGCGCCAGTGTCCCCTGTCACTTAGTAAAAGTAGTTAGAAGCTTGGGGCCTTGCTTCAGCATTTGTTTTTTTTTGCTGAGACTCTTTCTCCATGAGGAACACGATTGGAGAAGAAACATTCAGTATTTAGAAAATTAAATGTATCCATGTTATGATAAACGTAGAAATCCAGTCCAAACTGCTCTTGAAAGATGTAGTTTTTGCTATAAATACTATAGGAGTGTCACTTCTAAAACTTCCGAAGTTCCTACTTCAAAGGCACAATGATGGATTTTAAGAAATAAAACTTTAAGACAATATTTACGTGGTTTATTTCAGGTAACAATAACCTGATTCCTTAATGCTTGGGGCTATGTTCATAGCATTGCTTTTAGTGCTATCATTTTCTATTTCTCTTGTATGACATATTGTATTAGTCCGTTTTCATGATGCTAATAAAGACATACCTTCACAAAAGAAATAGGTTTAATTGGACTTACACTTCCACGTGGCGGGGGAAGCCTTACAATCATGGCAGAAGGCAAGGAAGAGCAAGTCGTCTTACATGGACGGCGGCAGGCAAAGAGAGAGAGCTTGTGCAGCGGAATTCCTCTTTTTAAAACCATCACATCTCGTGAAACTTTTTCACTATCACGAGAACAGCACAGGAAAGACTTGCCCCTGTGATTCAATTACCTCCCACTGGGTCCCTCCCACAATACGTGAGAATTAAAGATGAGATTTGGGTGGGGACACAGCCAAACCATATCATTCCTCCCCTGTCCTCCCAAATCTCATGTCCTCACATTTCAAAATCAATCGTGCCTTTTCAACAGTCCCTCAAAGTCTTAACTCATGTCAGCATTCACTCAAAAGTCCACATCTGATACAAGGCAAGTCCCTTCCACCTATAAGCCTGTAAAACCAAAAGCAAGTTAGTTACTTCCTGGATGCAACGTAGGTACGGTCGTTGGGTAGCCATTCCAAATGGGAGACATTGGCCAAAACAGTTCCTACAGGCCCTGTGCAAGTCTGAAATCCAGCGGGACAGTCAAATCTTAAAGCCCCAAAATGATTTCTTTTCACTCCATGTCTCACATCCAGGTTATGCTCATGCAAGAAGTGGGTTCCCAAGGTCTTGGGCAGCTCTGCCCCTGTGGCTTTGCAGGGTATAGCCTCTTCTTGACTGTTTTCATGGGCTGGCGTTGAGTGTCGACGGTTTTTCCAGGCGCACGCCGCAAGCTGTTAGTGGATGCACTATTCTAGGGTCTGGAGGATGATGGTCCTCTTTTCACAGCTCCACTAGGCGATGCCTCCGTAGGGACACTGTATGGGGCCTCTGACCCCACATTTCACTTCCACACTGCCTTAGCGGAGGTTCTCCGTGAGGGCCCCACCCCTGCAGCAAACTATTGCCTGGGTGTCCAGACATTTCCATACATCTTCTGAAATCTAGGTGGAGGTTGCCAAACCTCAATTCTTGACTTGTAGGCACCCACAGGCTCAACACCACATGGAAGCTGCCCGGGCTTGGGGCTTGTACCCTCTGAAGAAACAGTCTGAGTTGTACCTTGGCCCCTATTAGTCACCATTGGAGTGCCTGGGACGCAGGGCACCAAGTCCCTAGGCTGCACATGGCATGGGGACCCTGGGCCCAGCCCAGGTAACCATTATCTCCTAGGCCTTCTGGCCTGTGATGGGAGGGACTGCTGTGAAGACCTCTGACATGCCCTGGAGACACCTTTCCCATTGTCTTGGGGATTAACATTCAGCTCCTCGTTATTTATGCAAATTTCTGTAGCTGGTTTGAATTTCTCCTCAGAAAATGGGTTTTTCTCTTCTATCACATTGTCAAGCTGCAAATTTTCCAAACTTTTTATGCTCTGCTTCCCTTTTAAACTGAATGCCTTTAACAGCACTGAAGTCACATCTTAAATGCTTTGCTGCTTAGAAATTTCTTCTGCCAGATACCCTAAATCATCTCTCTCAAGTTCAAAGTTCCGCAAATCTCTAGGGTAGGAGCAAAATGCTGCTAGTCTCTTTGCTAAAACATAACAAGAGTCACCTTTGCTCCAGTTCCCAACAAGTTCCTCATCTCCATCTGAGACCACCTCAACCTGGACCTTATTGTCTATGTTGCTTTCAGGCTTTTAGTCAAAGCCATTCAACAAGTTTTTAGAAGTTCCAAACTGTCCCACATTTTCCTGTCTTCCTATGAGCCCTCCAAACTGTTCTAACCTCTACTTGTAATCCAGTTCCAAAGTTGCTTCCACATTTTCAGGTGTCTTTTCAGCAACACCCCACTCTACTGGTACTGATTGACTGTCTTAGTCCGTTTTTCATGCTGCCGATAAAGACATACCTGAGACTGGGCAATTTACAAAAGAAAGGGGTTTAACTGGACTTAGTTCCATGTGGCTGGTGAAGCCTCACAATCATGGCAGAAGGCAAGGAGGAGCAAGTCATGTCTTACATGGATGGCAGCAGGCAAAGAGAGAGAGCTTGTGCAGGGGAATTCCTCTTTTTAAAACCGTCAGATCTCATGAAATTTACTATCATGAGAACATCACGGGAAAGACTTGCTCCCCTGATTCAGTTGCTTCCCACTGTGTCCCTTCCACGACACGTGGGAATTCAAGATGAGATTTGGGTGGGGGTACAGCCAAGCCATATCACTTATTAGTATTTATTTTCTCAGAGTTATATTCTCCATTTGGGCAGTGCTAAAGATGTGAAGAAACATAAAGCAGGCTGTGTCTTTAAGACCTTTATAGTAATTTAGAGAAATGTAGAACCACAGCATGATAATCATGTAAGAGTGAGGTGGGGCCAAGAGTAAGATAATAATCTCCCCATTGTCTTTTATTCTATCAGTTTACCCCATCCCCTCCCCTCCCTTTCCCTCCCCTCCCCATCCCATCCCATCCACATCGCCTCCCATTTCTCCCTTCACCTCTTTACTATTTCATTTTATTTGTATTGATATTTAAATTTCAAATCAAGAATACTGGCTATTCTGTTTATATAATTTTGCTCAATCTGTAGTACTCCAGGACATAGTACAATGTTTGCATATAGTTGCAATAAATCTCTGTTGCATGAACACCAACACACTTATTAATTGCCTAGCATTATGCTGCTCCTGTGTAAAACAGATGTACATTTGATTTCAGGAAAGGAGAAAAGTTAAGTTGGAGGGAATTTATGTAGACCTATAGGAAGAATTAGAAATATTTGTTTGTATTCAGATTCTTAGGGGCGATGAGAAAGTTTGTTAATGATAAAAGCTAGAACACAAAAATTTCACCTTGTAAGTACCTGTGGAAATATTTATCTTTAATGGTTTTCTTATGTTGCTAAGAATGATCAACTTTTAACATTTCCCTTTGTGTAGTTCCTTATCAGATCTGTGTACACGCACCTATCAAAGATAGGGTGGGAACTTGCATCTTTTATCAATCCTGGAGAGCAGATGAACATGAGGCCTGTTTTTCAAAAATAAATTTAAACTTATTTTTTTTTTAGAATCAAGAACTAACTTACCAGTGTTTCACTGTACAAAGTTTACAGTTAATCGAAACCTGGTTTTGCCTTCTTAACTGTTTGCGACCCAAATTGCCTGCTCTTATTTAATTGTTTTACTTAAATTGTATTGAATACTAATATCTAACAAAGTTGTAGCCCTAAGTGATTCCAAAATTTCATTAAGTTATTGAGAAGTGGATCTTCTCTGCAAGTGTATTGTGGTGTATACTCTAAAGTTGTATTTATATTCTCTTTTCTTCCCCTTCTACAGTGCCAGGGACTCCTCATAGAAAGTTTGGAACTATTTTCTGTTATGTGGTAGTGGTAGAAATTCGGATGGAGGAAGTTCACAGGGTTAAAAAAATAAATTGTTGATAATAACAAAATAGTTTCAAGGCCTCTTTTAATTCTCATATTTTGTGATTTTCCTTCACATCAGACATTGCATAAAGTATGTTTAAAAAAGGTCCCAACTTTTGAGTTTCATTTCAATTAGACAGTAGTTTACTGTCCAATTCAATCACTAGGAAATATTTTGTGAGTGTTTCATTGCGTAGGGTGCTGGAATAGATGCTGATTAGAGAGAACTGCACAGACGATGTTCCTGTCCTCAGGTTATTTATAATAGAATGTGAGATGAAAATTTAAAAAAGGTCAAAACACAGAATTAGAAGAAAAGATGAGTAAAGTATTTAGCATTTTACTTCTATTTCAGTAAAATGTCTCTTGGAAGCCTTGGGAGGCAGGATAGAATGATTAAAAATGTTCAAAGAACAAACCTTCATCTCAAATTATCCACCTAAAAAGTTGGAATTCATAAGTGTAGACCTCCTCTATAGATACAGCAAGGAATCAGACTTCCTCTATCCGCAGACCCCCTACATCTTGTTTAAGCCTGGATCATCTCAGTTTGGATTACGGAAAACCAGTGGAAATTGTTAGAGCTTCTCCTTATGGATCTTCCTTGCAAAGCCAGATAGATAATATGGTTGAGATTTAGAAGGAAAAAAAAAGGTCCACGTGACTGAAAAAAAAAAATGTGTTACTGAGATGCTAAAAATATATGATTAAATAGCTCAGGTAGACATTACAAATAATTTATGTGTCTTTTAAGTTGGTCAGTATGAGGTTTGTATTTAAATTGCATCTCTCCTCAATTCAAATTGCCTTAGGCTTTTGGGTATTTAAGAATATTTTGTATTCATGAACACTTCTTTTATAATTGATGTGGATGTTTTCTTATAGCCCAAGTCTAATTTGTAAGCTGGAAAGTTCATTTATTTATTCATTTCACATCTATTATATATTTACTATGAGCCAAATATGATGGTATGATAGTAGGGAGTTTTTTTTGAGATGGAAT